ACTTTATTGTCACCGATTGTTGACTGAAGTTTGAAGCTCCTAGAACTTTAATTGTTAAAAAGGTGATTTATCAAAAACTTCGCCGTTATTAATCATGTCCCTTATGAGGCGCCTCGGAGGCGAGTTGATGAATGACGAATATTTCGAGCACCCAATTTTTTCAGTCTCCTGTCCTCCCAATTTTACCCGTTTTACGTTTGATTTTAAGTTTTTTCCGTGCTAATAACCGAAATTTACAATAGATGTATTTTGACCGTTCCCACTCCAAAGTTTTAAATGGGTCGGCTGCGCTGGTCACAGAATCGTGTTTTGGTGCTTGATTCTTGTAAATTAGCTATACTTAATCAGATCCACCCAAACAGCAACTTTCTACGTTCAGTATTGACCGAGATGTCGCGTTTTGAAAAACTCGGTCATTGACGTCATCCACCGCGGTAGTGACACCCTTGGTTTTATCCGTCTTTTAAGTCGAGCAATCAGTGCAAATGTGTGTCTCATTTATTGGTGAAAGCAAGGGTGTTAACTACCGCGGTGGATGACGTTATAAACCGAATTTTTCAAAGTTAGATATCTTGGTCAATGTTAGAAATAGACAGTTGCTGTTCGGACTGATCTTATTATTTTCAGCAAATCTACAAGAGTCAAGCATCAAAACACGATTCTGTGACCACGCAACTGGCCCATTCCTTAGCAGGAATGAATGCCGAGATTCAAGTAATTTTAGATAGGCGGGGGCAAACTTAAAATTTTTCCGTTAAATCTTCGTGCACTGTAATTCACACCGAGTGAAGAATCAAATTCACACTCGAATTCACATTCGAGTTGAACTCGATCGAATGACAGAAATGACAGAAGAAAAATAATTGCGTCATCCATTAGAATGTCCGTTTATCGACTGTAATTTCAATTTATTACTAATATTTGGTTTTTTAAAGTACAGATTTGTTGTGTACTTGATGAAATTTTTAAGAAAAGAAGGCGTTCTAGAGTGAAAAAGAGCTTTACTTTAGACTTTGCCTCTTATTATTATTCGAGTGAGAGGAAAATAAAGGTTAGGAAAAATTGTTCAGATATTATGATGCATTAAGTGTAGCTCAAGTAGTAGCTCATGCTTCAGTCCCTCAATTAATCTTTTTAATACGCACCAGGTTGATATGAGGTGTGTTTTTCACTCTACAAATATCTGAAATGTTCGTGTCTTCAGAATTTTATTACAAAGAAGGGCCGCTGTTCAAAATCCAGTCAATAAAAATGTTGGTGGTTGATACAAAGGATACTTAAGGGTGACTGAAAATATTAGATTATAGTGATGCAAATAATAGAATTTAAGATTTCTTCCTCTTCCTTGTCATCTTTCAATACATTTTCTAGAAATAGCATGAAAATATAACTATGTTATGACTTTTGACTTTTATTTTTTATTTATTTTCCAGAATTTTAATGAAAGCATTAAATTTTCTGAAACCGAGAGTAATTATGTTTGTTGATTGTTGAGATAAAGTAATACCTGTTAAAATTAAGAGAAGTACTAAGTGAATCAAATCGCAGCTGTAGTAACACACATGCTCTCTTTTTAATACTTGATTATTGTTACTGAATGTTTATGTGTTATCAGACCTTTTTCAACCGGTAAAAGTTGTATGTAAAAATGTTGGTCACTATGGATAATAATTCAAAATTGTGAATAACTAATTCCATAATAATGTCCCATTGTACCTACTAAAATTAAAAATGGAAGCAATTGCATTGATCGTAGTTTCCTGTTATTTGACATGCAATCAAAAACTATTTAATAAATTGAATGTGTTTTCTATCCCAGTCTTTTTATTGGTTGAAAATTCCAAGACTTGATATCGGGACCTCTCACCCAGAGACTTATCACCCAAGGAATAATTCACCCAGACTTCTTCACCTCCAAGCCCCACCATCAGCTCCTTCCAGTAATTAAGATGATACCGCAAGAGCGCAAAGAGCGGTAATTATATTTTTAGAAACTTATACCTGAATTTCACTATCAAAATTATTTTCTATGAAGAAAATCGAGTAAAAGTTACGAGACGTTTCACTGCGATAGTCTTCAACAGTCACTCGTCCTTCGGAAGTTCGGAGATCAAACTAAACTAAAATGCGTGATACAACTATTTCAACTCCTAAGCCGCTCATATTGCATCCATCTAGTTGAAGGCGAACTTGATTTCTAACTCCAGTTTCCAGTTATTCAGACGTGACCGCTAGAGCGGTGCTCAATTCTAACTTTTGCAACTTGATGGAAACGCTTGTAGGAAAAAAAAAACAAATATGTAAGTTAAAATGATGGTGAGTGTATATCCATAGGTGAAAAAGTCCTGGATGAAAACGTGTGGGTGAATAATCCCTTAGGCGCAAAGACTGTAGGTAAGTGGTACTAGCACCCAAGACTTAAATAGACCAAATTTTCAACGAGAAGGTAAAGAAAATCTTTATTGATATCTGATAGATTTGTTTTCATGTTTATTTCAAAACACACTGTTCAAAGGAACATTTGCTTAACGGGAGCATGCTGACACGAAACCCCGTGAGATTTTTGACCCCCGTGACCGGAGGTCCCCGCAGATCATTTGAAGAGATCAGATTCAGAGGGTGTAATTGCATTGCCATGTGGTAAAGTTTCACCCAAAACATATGAATCAATGTAGATAACCTGCAGATTTAATCTTAAAAACTTTTTCATTGTTCTCTCCGTAATTGGCAAATTTTCTCCAAACAAGAAATACTCTGGTTATGCACAGAGACATATATTGTCGTGTGGAACTTTAGGGCAATACAGTGCAATTGAATCAGTGAGAACGAGAACACACCAACTCGGTACCTTGAAAATGCTCACTATTCACTAAAGATAGACAATTTTCATAAAGGTCATTGAAGTTACCGTATCCGTTCCGACTTGGACATTTGAGGTTTCCTTTTAAGTACTTGCTTTTAGGCACCAAAAATCTTTTTCTTAGACTAACTTCTTCACCTAATATGCAGTTTTGTGTGTCTTGATTATTTTCATTTTTTTGAGTTGGTGTGTTTTTGTTCTCACTGATTCAATTCGGGTCCTTAATAAAACCAAGGCCATTCCACACAGGTCAGTCCTTTCTTATCTTTTTGGAACCCACTCCCCCGCCTGACCATAACTCGACCGCAGTCAGTGTGACGTAGCATTGACTGCTCCCTTAAGAAATGCATTGCATTCAACTTTTTGCCGCAATTTGCAGTCTCAAAACTCGTCCACGGGAGTGACTGACGTGTGTGGATTAGCCTTGAATAATACCTTTGTTATTCGGGACATCAGCCGCTTTTAGTGTGTCAAATGCAGATAATTCATAAATTAAATTTGTACCATTCTTTGTGAAACTAGAATCTCCTGTATCTAATTTTTTAGAGAGCTAAACTTGTGTAAATATACATTCCTCGGAACAAATCCAGTGTGGGCATTCCAACACTGCCACTCAACGATTTTGTCACCAACTAGATCTTATTGAAAATTAAGATTTTTATTAGTGATAAATTCACTGCTAAGGTTGAAGACAAAATAAGTGGTACATGAGGCATTTCGAAAAATTTGATTCAAAAGTCATTCAAATAAGTTTGAATGCCAAATATGCATACCAGTAATATCATTGTGCGAGGAAATAAATTATTTTAAAAAGAGCTCTCCATGCTTGTGTGGAGGTCCGATTTGAATGAAAATTGCCACGGAAAACGAATTACGTGCCATATTTACAATATTGAGAAAATCGTACAATAAGTTGAATGAAGCCATAAAGCGGATACCCTATGTGAAATTTAACACCCAGAAAAAAATGAGCTTTAAGCTCTTTAAGTCGTGCAAAACATCTTAATATTGCATGATTATGCGAAGAACAGTTGGATTGCATTTAGCAAAAAGGAACCAGCGCGAATACAATGTTGTAAAAATGTTGCTGATCCATAATTATCAAGAATCTCTCCCAGAATAACAAATAGTTTTTGCTTCTCGCCAAAAAATTGTGAATTTTAAAGGAAGATAATTGTGTAAATTTTAATACTTAACATGTTTTGAGTAATTTTAAAAGACTAGACTAGGTTGCACAGTTTTGAAAGAACTGCAATCGCGCTGGTTCCTTTTTGCTAAATGAGATCCAGTTATACTTGTACCTTCGAGTCAAACATTTTGCTGTCAAAAATATTGCCTAAGTCATTACATCTCTTTTTCAGACGTTATAAGTTGTATTGAATACGGTTCGATGGGACGATTAAAGGGCTTGGAGGAAAAGGCGCATGAGTGCAGTTTTTGATACGAATTGAGATTTGAACGATTTCAAGTGAAACTATAGTCTTGATGCAAATTCTGTGAAAAATTCGATCCCAAATTCCAATTTTTAAGCATCAAAGCTAGAGTCTATTTCAACTTTCTTTCCGCCGTAAGAATCCGTGTAATTTTGGAACTGCAAACACGTATTTTCCGAAGTTGCAAAAACTGCTCTTTTGCGCCATGTCCTCCGAGCCCTTCAATAATTGGACATATTTCTGTCAAACGGAACTATGTGCATTAAGACATGAGCCCTGGAACCCATAGAAATATATGCATACCAGGGCTCACGTCATAATGCACATAGTTCCGTTTGACAGAAATGCGTCCAATTAAGAGGACCTTGATAATTAAATGCTAGCTGCATGTATGATCGCAGTGCTCGAAACTCACCTTTGAGTTTTAGGAGCCATGTGGCACATCGAGCCCGATTTCCAGGCGCCATTGAAGATTTTTTAGGGGCCAATTGACATTTTGCCTATACATTACGGCGCATTTAGTGAAAAGTTAGACTCAAGATGTTTTCGTAACAGACCTAGTCAGTAGTTGTAACTTGGGGAAGACAAAAGCACTATGATTGAAATCGTGAAGAATAGAAAAAGCAAGCTTCCACTTGTAGTGCTGAAAATTCTGAGTTTTTTCAATTCAAATAGATTGGTTTTTCTTTCTTTATGTGACTTTCTGTGAAAATCCAGATTTTTAGGGGGCCATGTTTAGGGGCCACGTTGGCGCAGAGCCTTCATTTTTTAGGCGCCATTGCTGATTTTTTAGGCGCATTTGGCGCGTTGGCGCCTGTGAGTTTCGATCACTGTGTATGATTCCAGACTCACGGTTTCACGCAGCTAGTTCTCTGACCGTTCTTGCAAGTCGATGACATAGTTCTCCTTCATTTCAATTCCTTACGCAAATCATCCCCACGTAAAAACTCAAACGTACGTACGTAGAAAGTTGCCTACATGTACTCAATAAGGCGGCTTGCTGTCGTGGATTTTGATTACTTTACAAGTCACTGCTAAAAAACGATTCAGCGATCTCATCCTTTCCTAGACATCTCCCTAAGAACTGCATTTCTAATTGGTTCACCCAAGATATTTGAACGTTTTTAGCCTCGAAGCTCAATAGCCCCAGTCTTCTTTGAGCATATCTGCTCCCTTCTCCGCGATCATAATAGTCGGTGCGTTGGTGTTCCCGCTGACTACAGTCGGCATGACACTCGCATCGACGACCCTCAACCCTTCGACCCCGATGACCCTGAGCCGATGATCGACTACCCTGCCCATCGCACAGGTGGACGTCGGGTGGTAGAGCGTCATCGTGAAGTGTCGGATGCAGCATTCGAGGTACGCGTCCGAGAAGAGCTTCAACTCCTCACATCCCGGAAACGGAATCGCCAGCGGTCGAGCGTTGAGTGTCCGGAACGGAGGGGTCCTCCCCAGTTGCAGCGCCATCTTCATTCCGTCGACCAGAACTTCGAGGTCCTCGCGATGCTCCAGGTAATTCGGCTCTATGATGGGATGCACGAACGGGTCCTTGCTCTGGAGGGTGATTCGCCCCCTGCTCTTGGGTCGGAGGAGGACTGGGTATATCGTGAACAACTCGTCTTCCACCTTCTCGAAGTCGGTCCCGTCGAATATGTCAGGGCGATGGTTAAAAGGTGCGTTACCCATCGCGAAATACATATTCGACGACAGAAAATGTAACTGAATGTCCGGCCAGGATTCAGACTTGTTCGCGTATTTTGTGTTAACGAAAGCGACTCCCTCGCATGTTCCCAAGGATGTCAAAGGTCCCGTCCCGCTTATCAAATACTGATGAAGAGCCTCTTTGGTTTGGGCCAAAGCAGGAGTCAAAGTTAGGTTCTTGTCCACGCGAAAGGTAACCGTGCCCACGCAAAGATGATCCTGCAGATTTTGCCCGACCGGGAGGTCCTTAATCAGTTTTATGCCAAGTGCGCTCAGGTGATTTTTCGGTCCAACTCCAGACAGCATTAAGAGTTGTGGAGAGCCAATGGCGCCACTGGATACGATCACTTCTTTTTTTACCCTAGCGGTGTATTTCTGACCGTTTTTAATGTAGGTCACTGAGCTTGCTCTGGGATTTTTCTCCCTCTTAAAGCCGATTTTAGTGACGTGGCTATGCATTGAGATGTCCAGATTCTGCCTCGTCTGCGCAGTCGTGATGAAAGCCCTGGATGTACTGCATCTTGATCCATTTCGAGTTGTGCCCTGCTGGATCGTGAAGCCCTCTTGGGTCTCTCCATTTACGTCGCGAGTTTTGTAGCCGAGGAACTTCCCAGCTTTCAGGAAGACTTTAGCGAGGGGTGATGTCCAACGAATGTCTTGGACGCTGAGCAAACCACCGGAGGCGTGGTAAGGCGTTTTAAGAAGGTCTTCGTTAGAGTTGTCCTCGGATTTCAAGAAGTACTTGAGAATTTCTTTGTAACTCCATCCGGGGTTTCCCATCCGTTCCCAGAGATCGTAATCGTTCCGATTCCCACGGATGTATAGCATATAATTCAGAACACTGGAACCTCCAACAACCTAAAACGTACAGGTTATCCTGTAATTGTGTTTTTTTAAAAATGCGGACAAGAAATCATTTTTAAAACTGATCTCATCAACTCTTTTCTTCCTTGTATTGCAGTTTGGCCAAACATAAGAATGACCATGGCTGATAGGTTTTTTTTTAGGTTTTACCATCGGCGAAGTGACTTTACCGAAAACTTGGCGCTCTGTGGCAGCCGCAAGCATAACAACGCCTGGGACACGTGAAAAGTCAAAACGCCTTCATTAATCTACATATGCAACACGGGCGTTCACAGCGCACGAATAGTTGTATTCATGCAGTTTAGTTAATATGATAGGCCGTAACTGAAGGCGCAATGTTCTGTTTTCGTTCTGGAAAATATCATGCCATAGTTATTTTCTCTCTTTACGTTCGACCCAAAGAGCTTTGTTTATCACTGAAACACAAATTTTGTGTGTGAAAAAGTTACAAGTAAAATCAGACACACAGTCAACGTGTAAAAGTCCCATTGATCTTATTTTTGAAAAAGTTTCGCAACTATTATTGAATTGTAAAAATCGTAAACTTGACTCATGACTTTTTTTAACGCTTCTATTTTTTGTGAGCTCATTAATAAGAGAAGTACAGACGATTTTTTTGCACAGTTCGACGCCTCATCTTATGCTGTGAGATTTTAAAATAAAGTGGTAGCTTTTTTACTGTAACATTCAAGATTATCCAAATTATATTGAAATTCTTGGGATTTATTTGAAAAGCCTTACATCTAGAGAGCGTGAATACTTTGCAAAAATTTTCAATATAAATGAGACTGACGATAACTTCTTAGCATTTCGTCAGTTTTAAAATTGTAATAAACTATTCCTAATCTTTGACCATCTTACGCTTCTCAGTTTCAGTTCAGTATTTTATTACTATTTTAATTTATTTGAAAACTGACCCATGTATTTTTTTTCCACGTAATGTTGAATGATTCTTTCACATCGAAATAGAATGAGTTTTTATTATTTTGTACCCACTCTCTAAGAATTAATTTTCTAGACTTACTCACTGAGAAAAAGTTACTGAAAATTATGAAACGTTGCCTGAAATTTAAAGACTTTGTGATCGTTGCTGGGACAACGATTACAAATCACGATTTGTAATTTTGAAAATAAAATGATTCAGTAATAGAAAAAAAATTCCACAGAATATCATAGATTTAATTGGTCAATCACTAAAAAAACAGACTGTTACAAATGTTAGCAAAAACAATAAATGGTCTCGGTCGGAAAAAGGTCTGCCCACTAAGTAGTCACCAAAATTTTCCGCTGGAAACCTAAAGAATCAAGTAGCTATTGGGTTTTTCTTACAATTCAATTTTACTCCCAAACTATCACCAAAAAAACCAATTCAAACCAAAATAATTAATCGTTTTTCACTGAATGCAGATCTCTCACTATCAAATACGAGAAAAATTGGACCTGTGAATCATTTGAAGTAAAATATTGAAAGATACCGAAAATATTTCTCTCCATAAATGTTTTCTCCAAAAATATTATTTCGCCGGCAATTTTTCTCACGTTGTCTTTTCCTTCAAAAGGATTTCCTTTTGATAAATTCTGTCCAAGTTTACTAGCTATTTTTGAATATGGTAAGAAGAATGGGTAGAGTATGGACATTGCTGGATCTATTCCAGGTTGGCCCCGCCAACTTACACCCGTAAAAATTTCCGTGTTTAGTGTTACTCTGTGTTAAATCTACCCAAACTGAAGTTTACTCTTAGTAAGACATTGGGGCAGGGAAGAGTCCTGTGGAACTTGTGTACTCTTGTTTTCCTCCCCTTCATCAGAGGTAGCGAATGGCTAGTGTATTGGATTACGATCAATACGATCCAGCGGGCCGATTATTGAAATTGATAGACTAAGTTATAGACAAAGAAGACATAGGGAGTATGGAACTATCCTATTGGTTGAAATGGGTGATTCCTATCGGCTAAGGGAGAAAATTATGGCCTAACCATCGGGTTCCTCGTGGGTTGCCGTTACTTAGTCTATTACCTACCTTCTTTGTCCATTGCAACCACCCGCATCCACCGCAATAGGATTCCTCCGTTTCTCTTTTGTCTTCTCTGTCTATAGTTTTGTCTACCGATTTCAATAATGGCCCCACTGGTTTGATCCTGGCGGCTGGCGCCTAATTTATGACGAAAGTTTCAGATTTTCAGCACAAAGATTTGGTCAGTTTAACACAGGGAAAACTAATAAAAACATTAACCCGCAGCTTGTGTTGCTTCGTGCTGGATTTCCCATAATTACACAAAATTGTTGTTAATTTTTTTCACTGTGTAGACACACGGGGCAGGAGGCTGTCTAGGGCCATGGTCAAGGGACGTTTTTTCCTGATGAAATGTATTAAATTGTAACATTTATTTTTGAATGTTATACTTAGAGAGCCCTCCCCTCCTTACCATTCGTTATTCCAACTCCCTTAAGGAGTTAGGGACAGTGGCAATGCCATCAGGTTGGCAACGCCGTCAGTGATCCATTTAAATCCATTGAATGTATTGATCGTTGGTGAGACAAGCTGCCTCACCAGGAATCGATTGTTTAGCATACATTAAATGGACGTAGTTCTATAAAAAGGAACTATGTGCATTATGACGTGAGCCCTGTTTTGCACATATTCTCATGGATCTCAGGGCTCATGTCTTAATGCACATAGTTCCGTTTGATAGAAATACGTCCATTTTTAAGCCCTAAATAGCGTCCATGGAAATAAGTCCATTCTCTCATCGTAATCGCATTTTTTTAAACAGCAAGAATATAGGTAATACTTTTTCAGCTTTCTCGCGTGGACTTGTAAATGGATAGATCATACCGATACCACATACGAACCTTACCACGTGGCCAAGCACAGCTGTTGTTCGTCATTGCCAAGCAATAGCGGTGGTTCTCGTCGGCTGGTTTGGTTCGGTACTGCCAATCAAGGTCCGAGACCTGATTCAAAGGAACCAGTAGAGGCACGCGAGATAAGTCCGTTTCCTGGCCACCCGCCTCCAGGAGCAGCACTGTCGCATCCTCCAATTCTGACAACCGGTTGGCCATAACCGCCCCAGCAGAGCCACCCCCGATGACCACGAAATCATACTCGGGCTGCACCTTCAAATCGTTACGTTAATTATCATTCGATTATCTTTGCAAGTTTTCACAACAAATAATGAACCCTTTACAAGAAATTAAGTGGTCTCAGTTTGGATTTTTTGTGATAAGAAACGTGACAAACGACCCAAGGCTCCATCTTCCCCTCCCCAGGGCGGACCTTCCACCCGGTGGATGGACTGACAAACTACAAATTTTATACATCGACGGTGAAACTACCAAACCACGTATCTCGTTTGCGGTGTTTAAAAATCTACGCTCACATTTTATTTTTTTGAAGTAGACCAAATCAATATCATTCCTTGAAATTTTCACGGAATTTTCTCCGCACAAAGAGGAAAAATCACAGAAATTTTCAAGACTGGATGTTAAGTAGTTTTTCATTTAAAAAATAAAGTATGACAGGAAGTCTGCGACGTCGCAAACCGAGATACGTGGTTTGGTAGTTTCACCGTCGACATGTCGAAGGCAATTAGACAAATCAGACATTTTATCAATTGCCTAGGCCGGTAGTCAAATCTTGACAGTTTACGGAATTCTGTAAATTTATGACTAGTAGTTAACGGGTTTTCAATATTTTGGGAAGAATAACTCTTCAAATCCGCAAACTCTCCTTGTTCCTTCCTTTTTAAATGCCTCTTGTACATTTAAATGCTAAAATTATAAAATGTCTATGTCTAATGACGTGCTGAAAATTTCAAAATAAATGTGCGTTCAGGAACTAAAAGTTTTTTCAAACACTAAGTGCGTATTTTTACAGAGAATTCTGTTTTACAGGAGCAACGAATTATTTTTTCTGAAATTAGGAAATTAATCAATTTGTCAATCTAACTAAGAATATTTTACTATTTGCCTGGGCATTTGACAAAATGCCTGATTTGACTATTTGCCTCCGACATTTACGTTGATTATACATCAACGATGAAATGACCAGACCACGTATCTCCTTGTGGTGTTTAAAAATCTCCTCTCTCATTTTATTTTTTTGAAGGAGAACAAATCAATATCATTCCTAAAAAAATTTGAACAGAAGAAAAAATCACGGAAGTTTCCAAGATTTGACGTTGAGTTGTTATCCGTTTAAAAAATTAAGTGTGACAGGAAGTCGGCAACGTCGATACGTAGATTGGTTGATAAAAAAATGTCATCAGTAAAAATTATTTCAAAGGTTCGTAAATTTGCATTAGTTTTCCCATTAAAATAGAAAGTTTGACAAAAACTCGTCACAAATCGAGGTACAGGTTTTTCGACTTTCATCACCAATTTTGTCAATATGAAAAAGAACGTACGGTTTCCACTGTCTGCAACTTTTGTATCATAAAGTCATACAAATCCGAAGTATAAAAAAATGAACTGTTATTCGGATGGATTTGTGCGGGAAAAATCAACCTACAATGAAAGATTTGAGAATGACCAAAACCGTTTAAGGAATAAATTGGAGTTATAGGGAGCCACCTCTGGTCTGATTTCTCTGACTATGGGCTGCCATAATTAATTGAAAATCGATTCTTTACCATAGCTTCAAATAGGAAAATATCGATAACGACGAGTCGCGCATATCATAGGTACCAGTGGCGCGGCGTGCTTTGCGATATAAAAATATATCTGCCATTTGAACCTATGGAAAAGGATCGATAATCAGGGTGTTTGCAGCGAACACCTCAATAATCGATTCTTTACCATAGCTTCAAATGGGAAAAGATCGATAATAGATAATTCACGCCTCGCCACTGATAGGTACCTAGCTTAATCAAGCATATTTTAAGGATCCATGGACCATCCGAGACATCGTCGTCTCCCAGACGGAGGAGCGTAACTCCATTCCATGGTTGCAAAAATGCATGAAGAAAATAATTTATTTTTTTACAAGAATCTACCCTTGAAATTTTCGTCAAAAATGTGTCCGATTTTTGCATAAGATCAGAGGAAAAATCCGTAATAATTTCAGTTAGAAATGCCGAATTCTATCCTAGTAAAAATGCAATGAAGATGTTGCATGTGTGAGGGATTTGCGATTTGACAATTGATTCTTATGTAAAAGTTCGAGAGAAACACAATGGTGCCGCTGGTTTTCTCTGAAGTCAACTCCCAAGCCCAAAAAGAAACTCTCAAGTTGAGGTCAAAATGGAGGGGATATCCCACGCTATCCTGAGAGTCCAACTCTACATCAAGACAAACTCTCCATGCAAAGATAGGGAGCAAATACATTGACAGGGCTGCTACTTTATTTGGGGACTCTTAAACTGAAATCACGGCAACCCTGTCAATGTATTTTCTCCCTACCTTTGCATGGAGAGTTTGCCTTAATGTAGAGGTGGACTCTCAGGATAGCGTGGAATATCCCCTTCATTTTGGCCTCAACTTGAGAGCTTTTTTTGAGCTTGGGAGTTGATTTCAGAGAAAACCAGTGGCGCCATCGATTTTCTCGCAAACTTTTACATAAGAATCATTTATTGTCAAATCGCAAATTCCTCACACATGCAACATCTCTATTCGCGGGGAGAAATTAGACAGCATTGAAATGCAGTTACGTTCTTTCGTAAGAGAAACGACGATATGTCTGCATTCAAAACTCCCAATGCTGATAGACATTTTTCACTTGAATGCGCTAATTTGATATGTGTAAAAAAAAAGCGAGCCCTACTGGCACGCTTAAAAAAAATCACTTGATTGTTTCATGCGCGTTTACATACCTCTGGAGCGTCTGTGAGTATTGGCACCTGATTGTTCGGAGCTAAGCTGTTGTAGAGGGTGAATGCAAATGTGACAAGTGACAAAAAGCACGAGGACTGCCATGCTGGTACAGTTAGGGCGATCATTTCAGATCGCGATATACGATGCGAGAATGTCCTGTGAAATATTCGGAGGAGTTCAGTTTTGTTTGTCATTGAAATCGACGAAAACATGACATCTTGATGATTCATCATCATGAGATTCAACACTTGAGCAGATCCCAAGGTAACTTTCAAAAGGGCCGATTGTAAAAAGATGCGGTTTTTATTCAAGGTACCTATTTATTTGGTGCAGGCAAATAACAATAATAGGTATGTCAATTTATAAGTTCATACATTTCTGCATATTGATGGCTACAGTCGGAAAATTCGCATTTCAGATTGCAACATCGTAAGTCTCCACTCTTGTGTTTATTCTTTTTTAAATAAAAATTATCCAACAAGTTCCATTAAAATTTTCGGTAAATTTTCTTAATTCATTCAAACAAAAGTGCAAAAGAATTCCAAAAACCAATTTTGATCGATTCTTCCTGAAGAAAATCTAAAATACCATCGAGATTCTTAAACGTCGCAATGGAAATGCGCGTTTTTCGCATTTAGTCATCGATATTTTAAAATTCGTTCTCGTGAATCTCGCGGAGAAAATTACTTGGGGCCAATGGCCGGAAGAAATGTGAATTGATGTTGTGAGACTAAAAATTGGGTTTGAATTTGTTTTCCTCTCTCTGTCCC